ACACATGTAAAAAATTATACAAATTTTAAGACATTTTTTTCTTATATCTTATTGTTCCGACGACAATTACTTTCACATATGAGCATGGATAGATATACGGAAGCATTAATAATTAATTCTTGAAAATGATATCGTATTGTAACTTTATTATACATGGTTGAATTTGTAAAAAAATAATCTTTAATTTGGTAAAAAAAAAGATTAAAAATTTAAGAAAATTACGGGTGATGGAGGTATTTTGTAAACAAAAAAATAAAAAAAATTTTTTTTCTTTATAACTTTAAAGTATTCTTGAAATCGTACAACTTTCATTTAAAAAATTTTTTTCTATTTTTTTGTACTCCCGACGATATTCGGTTTGAAAAAAAAAACTGTTTTTTTTCAAAGGGATGTTTCACCCCTTAAACATGAGTTAGCGCGTAAATATAAAAAAATACATATCTCTTTTTATGTTTTACAACATATTTCATACATATTTCATACAACATATTTGGAGAATCAAATCGGTTCTGGGCAGTTATGATACTTCCCTTGTTAGATTAAAATTTCTCTTTTCAAATACGATAATATCTTAAATTTAATAATAATTAAACTCAAAATACAAAAAGTGGTAAAAGGAATTATAAAATTCGTTACTGTTATTAAAAATATGTAAGAGCGTTATCGTTACCAAATGTAACTACGTTCAATTACTAAAAAAAAAATACTAACGCAGTTACCAGTTACAACTAACAAGTTATTTCCGTTCTCTGATTTTTTGTGGAACAATGTTATTTAACTATAATATTAGAAAGTCTACTGACGGTCAAAGTAGAATAGGTTCAAATAATACATTAATATGTATTTCTCAAATATACAGTGAGTACAAAAAGTATTCGTACAGAGAAAATATTTTTTAAAAAAAGCTTTATTTTTAAAAAGTAAATATTATCCAGCGAGAAATGAGTCATCGAATTGATGTCAGATCGATATAAATACCGATGATTTCAACATTAATTTGACGTCAATTCGACGTTTAATTAACGATCATTTCTTGTTGGATAATTAACAATTTATTCATAAAGAATAAAATAGACTGTGTTTTTTTAAAATGATGTATACCAAAAAAATGTATTAATTATACAAAATATCATCCGAAAAATAAACGAAATTAAAAATTGTATTGTTTGAATGTTTAAAAAGTATTCGTATAGACGAGAAATTTATAGCTTCTAAAATTAAGAATACATGCTGAGCTCGTTTATATTAGAACAGAATTATATTCATTGTATAAAATTGTTAATTAATGTTTAGTTTCTACAAAAAAATAAGGCTTTTTTTATAATAATTTCCTTGTACGAATATTTTTTGTTCTCACTGTATTTGTTTCAGATATGACTGCGCGTAGATAATTTTTTTTTAATACACCCGCGCGCGTACAATCAATCCGAACATTAATAATCCCCTCTAAACTAAAGAAATGTAAAAAGAAGTTGTTGTGAAAATTAAATATTATTTCCTGGGAAAACAAGAAATTCATGTCCGATTCCCGACTGAAGTAATATTGAAAATTCAGAAATCAAATTCAAAATTCAATTATCGGCGCCTTATAGTCATATAGAAAATAAATTTATTATATTTGAAGGATCATGGTGTGGCAATAAAATTCAGTGAATATTTTTATCTTCAATTTGTAAACGCATCTAGCAAGTTGCGTTATATTTGTTATAGATTGGCGAAGCTTGAAACACATTTTAGCATGTTGCACACCTGTCCTTGACGTATGTGCAGCTATATTCAATTGTAAACAAGTTAGCACGTTCGTTAAGATATTTCTTTGGTTACAAATCGCGCTAAAAAATTAATCTTGTATAACCTACAAATATGCCTCTCTGCGTGTGCTTTCTGAAAAGAAAAACTTTGACGAACGTACACACGCATGCATAAAGATACGCATAATCTCATCATATCATCACACGAATACTAGTTCGCACTAAAGATAGTTGAAATGTGGCAACAGCATGTTCCTGCCGCTCGACATGTGCAGAGAATTCCATCAAATTACAAACTACTCTAATTCAGAAAATAGGTCTCCCTATTTTTGTTTATAATGTTCCTATAATATTTCTACATTAAATATATTTTTTTTTAAATTTGTAGAAAATTTTGGGCATAGCTAGAATCTTTGAAATTTTAACCATATATAGATAAAATAATTTTAAACATCCATATTATTCTTGAAGCTTCCACGGGTTTTCCATATGAAGATTATGCGTTTCGCGAGTTTCCAAGAATGAATCTGAACACGGAAGAAAACGCATAATTTTCATAATATCCATATTTAAAAAAAATCTATAGAAACTCAATTTCTCGAAGAAATACCTTAATGAAAATAAAACAAAAAGCTAATACAAGTTCTGTTTTAAATTAGTGCGGCATCGAAAATGTACGCAATGTTATGACAAGTTTATAGAAATGATGTAAAAACGTGGAAATATATGTAAAGTTGGTTTGCACACTTACGTGCCAAGGCAAGATAAAGACTCGTTAAATGATGAGTGCCGTAGTAGATGATTCTCGACAGTCAGAAATCCTGACACCATTGAACGTGTATGATAGCTAACAACAAATAATCGTTGTTTGCCATTCGGTTAATTGCAAACACATACCATATTAATGCACATTAATAAAAAAACTATTCATATCATCCTACATGAAGATTTCGGTAAACGAAAGTCTATTCTTGATTTATGCCGCATAATCTGACGGATAATCAGAAAACGCGAAGAGTTAAGATCTGTAAGAATTTTATTAGCGATCATGATTCGTTCTTTCTGGGATCGATAATAACAGGTGATGAGACTTGTGTTTCCAATTCAACTTGGAAACGAAACACCAGTCAATGGAATAGTGATTACCATCATCATCAAGACAAATGAAGAGTTATCTCCAAAAATTAAAGAGGAAAACGATGTTAATCACATTTATCGATAAAGATAGAATTATCCATAAGGAATTTGTTCCTTAAGAACAAATCGTGAATGCTCAATTCTATTTGTCTGTGCTGCACGTTTAGTAAAGCGCATCCGCAGAGTATGGTTTCGCAAGGCAAATTAATATCTGCTTCACGATAATGCACCTTTCCATATTACTTATTATTATAACATAAATTACATGGCAATTCTTGATTCAACGTTGTATTACCATTTTCATCCCTACTCTTCTGTTCTCGCGAATTTATTTTTATTCCCTAAATTAAAGGAGGCAATCAAATAGACTCATTTATATAAACTTTATATTTATATAAACTTTGGATATTCCGAATAGTATGATAACGAGACTTGAAGCGATATCCAAAGATGACTTTTCACAAAGTTTCGATAAGCTGTATGAACTTGTCAGAAGTGTATTTCCTTTAGGGGAAATTATTTTGAAAGACAATAAAGGTTATTTATATATTAATTAGGCGGTGTTTATTTTCTCATCATTTACAAAATTTTATTGCCATAATATTAAGATATTATTTGAAATATCTCACTTCGATCGTTAATAGGCTTTCTCATATTATAATTTGATTTATTCAAATAAATAATCCGAATTCAAAATCTTGACAATATTATTTAATAATATAAGTTGCGATTTGATTCTCTATACGAGCTAAATACTTTTTACAGTGTACATAGACACGGGAGTCGGACAAACCAATCCAGTTACTTTAACCTTCGTTACGAGTGGTAATTCTTTTTCACGATCGTGGAAAGTTCGAATCTCGCAGATACGTTGCAGTACGATATATCGAGCCGAAGAGGGATGCCTTCAGTATTTTACCGGAATTTCCGGCCAGATAAAATCCTTCAATTACGATCCTATGATTGGGCTACAATTGTCAAATCAAGATTACAGTATATGCATCAGGATGGAAAGGAACTTTTGTGGAATCCAGTACATGGCGTGTTCTGACGACGGTAAAAAAATATATATACATAGAATGTAACAAAAATAAATAAACATATATGTTTTAATGTTCAAAGAGATTTTTCTAAAATCTGAAGTTAGATATTTTAGCAATGGTATTAATAATGGCTTTCCATTGTTTATCATATTATTTTCACATGACTTCAAGAATTTGTTTTATTCATTAACATCATTATGTCAGATTCTTTAGAACATGGTTGTTCATCAACCAAAAGATTGAAGTTCGTTAATGTTGGTGGTAGATGCGTCTGTGTTCTCTATCAATTAATGAATCTATGATCAATAGATGCATTCCGAGTAAAGTATAGATTGCATAGTAACTCGTTCTGGTTTAATCAATGCGTGCATTGGAAGCGCTTTGATAGCGTTGAGAATTTCCTAGATTGTGCTATCCGTACTGAATTCTTTCCAGTGCATTGACTGCTTCTCTTTTTATTTGAAGCAGTTGATGCGTCTGATGTTTTCGATCTATGCGTTTCATGTACAATTTGGAACGAATATTTGTGGATCCTTAAATGAATCGAAAATCCTTCTAAGTGCTCTAAAAAAGAAGAATGAATATTCTGGTGAAGATGAAGTCAAAACAAAATTGAAGCTTTGAAAGTTGAGTAATTATAGAATAGGCCTTTTCCGAATTTCGATATTTTTTAGTAATGTTGATAACAATCTTTGATATACTTAAATAGATAATAAACCGGGAAGTCGAAAGATATATAGTCTATCCACTTTTTTGATCGTTTATTTCCAATATAGTAATTCATTACATTATATAATATTTTTACTCATGTACTGAGTGATGTTCATATTTTATCATCCAAATAAAGCGTTATAAAGAGCGTGGAAATTGTACTGCTTCGAAGTTGGGGAGAAGTAGAGTGGACCTAGCGTAGAATTGTGTGTCCCTGAGTAGAGGGAAAAGTGAGGTGAACCTCGTTTCACATGAAAATTTGTGCGCTCCTAGGCAGAAGAGAGATAAGGTAAACTAAAAAAATAGGTAGATTACATATTTTTCAATCTCCTCCGATTTATTATCATTAGTTGCATCATAACAAAGATTGTTATTAACATTATAGCCGAAAAATATCGAAATTCGGAAAAGACCCTACAGCATAATTACCGAAAGTTGTTTATTTTATATTATAATTAATTTATTTCATTTTAATTAATTACGAGTTTTTTAATTTGGAATTCAATCTTCAAAGAGGAGTTGGAGCATTTTAAGCGATTTGGAGAGCACGCTAAGCTCGTTATATTCAGCTTTTTTCTTATATAATTTTACTTGTCGAATTCGAAAATCGTAGTTAAAATTATTTTGGTATCCGGGAAATATTTTTTTTCACATTTTGAATAGAAGAAAGCAACGATCGATTTTTTCACTTTCTTGAACCATATCATTAAATTACTCTTTGTTTTTATCCTATTGTTATTTAATTATTTTCTTGCAGATAGGGAAGACCAGGACTATGTAGACTCATTTTTCAATTTGGAATTTTTACAGACGAGATTAAGAAACTTATCAAAAAGTGAATTCTACACCAGTTATTACATGCATTTGACTATCTAATAATATTTTAATAATAAAGGGAAACAGATAACTAATACGAAAAACATGCATTTTTCAAAAAGAACAAGAAAATCAAAATAATGTTAATTTGACCGAATTTATCATTTTTTGGTCATAATAAAAATCTTGATGTCAAATGATCTAAGAATTTATATTGGCTTTTTTTGTATTGTTATCTCTTTTTTATATTGGCTTTTTTTTATTGTTATCTCTTTTCTTTTATGGGAACTATAATATATATTGCGAGCAATGATGTGAAAGCCTGTGTTATATTACATATCCATAATTGGAGATTAAAGATTACAAATTGAAAATTAAAATTCAGCAAATCAGAACAAAATTAATTATAATTAAAATTATTTGACTGGTCGAATTTCACTCTCTAAACTATAATATTAATAAGGATGATATAAATATCAATTCAATAAAATTAATTCAATGACAAATAACTATTATGTAGTACTATGTAATAATTTGCAGTCATATTAATAAATTATCATTTTATTGAAAAAGTTCGCAAATAACATCCAATGCTCGAATAGCCAGTTGAATTAATTTTATTGAATTTAATCTCTAATTTATTAATTTTCAGTTTCCAATTTGTAATGTAACATGAGTTTTTTAACAGTATGTTATAAACGCAGATATTAACGGTGTTTCTACAAGAGAATTAAGCGAGCATTGTTCGTCTATTTTCGTGATAATCATGTGACTTATTTTTAGTGAATAGTAAGATCATAATGCTCGACGTTTGACATTTCCATAATGGCTTTAATAATCCCATCTGTGTACGCAAGCATAATCTCACACGCACAACAAAAGACCTGACGCGTGACGCGATCAATGGAAACAAGAAGACTTAACGATATACGCTTTTCTTTCTAGTTAATTAATTCCTAGTTTATCTTACCGCAGTATTGATAAGAGATATTATAAAGTAATTATAAGCAATATTAATTTTACAATAAATAATGACTTTGTATTTACTTTGTGTTAAAACATATTTTAATAAAAGTTTTATTAATATGTAGTTAAAGATATAACTTAAATACATAATCTTCATTTTAATAATCTTAGTTAAATTATATCATTAGTCACCTTATCCCGGCCCCGGGGCCAGATGGAATGCATTACCCGAGGAGAACAGAAAGGTCAAAATGATATCAAATTGAATAAATTTTTTATGCTTTCTTAATGTCATATCTGACACTATTTTGACATTCTTTTGACTTTTTTCAGAATTGATTAAAATCATAGAGATGCATCAGATATATCTGGTTTCCGACAATATGTGGTTGAAATTTTATATTGAAATGATGTGCATCATAGTGTGAATATCCTGAAAAAAACTTTTATTAATATTGATATATTTTTTTAGAAATATCAATGATAAAAATTTTCAGGATATTTACACCATAATGCACATCATTTCAATATAAAATTTTGATCGCGTATATTGCCGCCAGATATTATTAATAAACCAGATATTAGTCGGACATCCGGTGCATCACTATGTTTGATGTGTAATTACTGTGTACGACAGTACAGTAATGTAATTAAACATAACACATAAAATGAAATACTAATCATAATATAAAGAATCTAAAAGATATTAAAAATAATAATAAATCTGAGTCAACTAGCCCCGGGACCAGAATAAGGTATCTAATGATATGAGGTAATTGGACTAAGATTATTAAAATGAAGATTAATATATTTAAATTACATCTTTGGCTACATATTAAAAAGTTTTAAAATATGTTTAAACACAAACATTCGCTAAGGCAGAACAATACTTCTTTTTGCTAAATTTGTTCATTTCGTGAAATAACGTCGAATTCTAAAATAATGTCGAATTCTAAAATAACGTCGAATGAGCCTAGTTTTATCGAGATTGGACGTGGAAGTCAGTTTATAACATTTACCACTGAGGTCTCTTTAAGGCTCCTAAGTACTCAGCTAAGAACTTCGTGTTGACGGTGGCGGACCGAATCAGATGGAAGTCTAGCGTAACCGATAGCCCCACACACACACACACACACACACACACACACGCACGCACGCACGCACGCACGCACGCACGCACGCACGCACGCACGCACGCACGCACGCACGCACGCACGCACGCGCGCACGCACACACACACAAACATGCTCATATACGTATGTTCCCTTTCAGTGCGCCGAGAGCGAACGAAATGGCGAGAGAACATTCTTCTCTAATTTTGTTATCGTTTGTTTTAAGCAATCGAAAATGCTTTCTCGCGGAACGGCAATCTCGGCTGCTCAATAAGGAGCGAAAGTAATTCTAAATAATATTTAACTAAGTTTTAATAAATTAGTAATTAGTATAGCATACCCTTCCCATTAATCCAGAATAGTATAAATTATGTCAAAATGCAACAATTTACGAGATATTTAATAGTTTTCAAATTTTCATGAGCGTTATATGTATACTTCGTTAGTAAGTATACTAGGTGGGTTAGACCACTATGTGTTAGTGCGTACACGTATACGCGGTATGTGTGTGTGTGTGTGTGTGTGTGTGTGTGTGTGTGAGGGATCCGAAGGTAGAAGTACATTGCTAGACTTGGGGTTCGAGGGAAAGGACTAATGTCACTGGGCGAGGGGAAGAGGGGATCGACGTTACTGGACGAGGGGACTGCGGGAGGGGATGGAATCATTAGGGCCTGCCATGTTATTTTCTCTTTTTCATCCATTATAAAATGCAGTTCTCTCTCTCCACTCGTGCAGCCCTATACTTATCATCTTCTCATGAACTCATGTTCTCTCTTCTTCTTGTTGCAGTCCCTATCACATTCGCGCGCTCTCTTTTTCCCGTTGCAACTCTATACTTCTCATCTTACTCATGCTCTCTCGCTTTCTCTCGTTGCAGTCCCATACCTACATTGAAAAAAAATATAATCAATTTTAATAAATGTTTAATTGAATACTGCCAATTAAATATTTATTAAATATAAAGATATATTTATTTCATACAAGAAATTATGTTAATTTGATTTAACAATCATTTTTTTTATTGAACAAATTTACTTTAAGTAAATGTTTAGTTGACATGAACTAAATATTTATTAAAATTAATTATATTTTTTTCTCAGTGTACTATATTATTCGCGCTCTCTCTCTTCTTCCCGTTGTAATTTCCCTCTTTGTCTTTTCTTCTCGATTTTTAAATATTTAAATGAGTTTTTATTCAACGATTTTAAAAATGATATGACTTAGCATTTAATTGTAATATTTTTTATTAGTACAATACAATAAGCGCCTTTATTAACTAATTTAATATATGGATATGACGAAGGAATGGTGTAGGAACAAAGGAATAAATAATTTTAAACACAGAGTAATATAATTTTAATATTTATTTTAATATTTTCATTTTTATTTTATTCGTAATTATTTTATT